AATAAATAATTTTTAATTAATAAAATTTAAAAAACCTCAAAGCCTCCAGGCAAAAATCTTTCGGGCTCCAGTGTTCAAGGGCCAGACCCAGGCTCCTTTACTCGCAGGGAATATCATCTAACATCCAGAAGTAGTGTCACGGCAGAAATCAGGGAGGGCGCTTGGCCAGTTTGATGCTGCTAACGTTACCCAGCGCAGGGTCTGGATGCGGATAAGCGTTTTCGTAACGGGATTCTTAAGGCTTTCCATGGTCAAGAGCAGGATTCACAGATGTGACATATGCAGGGACTCGTTCTTAAAAGCACGGACTTCAGTCTTCCCTCGTGAAATAGAGGGAGAGGTTGTCGTAGCACCAACAGAAGTGTCAGACCAGGGCTGAACGGTTTGAAAGCCCCGCTTATCTGCTCAGGCGCAAGACAGAAGCGAGAGGTGGTTCCTCTCGAGGGCAGCCCGCAGACTCCCTGTCAAACGTGGTCTTGCCTCAGTGAGAATTCCTCAAGCTGTTTTGGATTGGTTTCTAAAGCAAACGCGAGTTTAAAAAGGTGCAAAGACTGAAGGGCAGCGTATGCTATGCTGAGGTCATCCTCCATTTTCTCCTAAAATTGAATTTAGGATCTTGGCAGAGAACAAACATTTGCACTGGAAACTGGTTAATGTATGTGCTATTGCCCTGCTAGGACTAAAGTAACAAACCCCTCATTGTGTGCCTCCTGCCCCCCAACCTAATAAACTGCCTCTAAATAGCCTCCTTTCATTGCCAGTCTGCTCCACCTACATTTGTGCAGAATGCTGGTTTTAAATGTTTAGCACTCTAAAATTTTCCGCATTTAGTGTATCCCCCCGGGGCACGGGCTGACAGAAATACATATACAGGCCCCCACTGTTGACTAGAATACTGCAGGTGGCAATTACAGCATTTTGCACGAGTTGTCAGCTACATCATTAAAATAATTTCCAGAACAGTTGTCAGAAGGTTCAAAATTACAGCTCTTCTACCTAAAAGTTACAACCCTGAACTTTCAAAGAGAACTAACTGTTCATGATAAAAGGTGCTATTTTCTCAAAGCCACCTAAAGACTCCTTAAAGTTTATATTAACTTTAATATATAATCGTGGTTCTACCTGTGTTAATATTAATCTCTCTTACAAGTCTTTTTTATATTAAGACATACGGTTACAGTTTTAATTAGATTCTTCAGAATTTCATTTTGCATGTTAGGCAACAGGCTTTGAAGAAAATGTTATGTAGCCATATGAATTTGCATATACCAAAATTCAATCGGCTCTGCTTGAAACGTAATACTGTTAAGCCACAGAAGTTGTGCCTATATGCACATAATACGCACCATGTCTCCCTAAATCAAAAATCATCATCTCCATTAATACAGGCTAATACAAAATCAACACAAAATCCTACCCAGAGTCCTGAGAAAAAAAAGGTTGTCTAAGACCATTTTCTAGACTTTATCTCCTACATGATATTGTATTACCTATTTTATAAGTATTAACAAATTAAGTAATAGACACATGGTACAGAAGCATTGCTTGGGGAAATCTCAACTGCCTTTCAACAATGGTTGTATGTGGCTATCTCTCCCAGTCTAGATCATATACATTTTGAAATAAGATTTCAGATTCACTCCTTTCTTAACAGAGTTACATTTCAGCAGAGTATCTGAAAACCTAGAACATAACCTGAAAATAAAATCAGAACAGGAGGCAGAGAAAATTTAGTTTCTGTTTAAACAAACTGATTTCAGATAACTGAATCCTCCCATAGCGTGTCATGTTCAGACGTGCAGAGGTAGCGTTAAGGGAAACGGGCTACGTACTTATCTCTTGGAAACTCCCATTTCGGGTCTTCTGGCAATTCGTATTCCGAGACTCCTGCCAACATGGGGGCATCGGCAGTAGAGGAGAGGCGAGTAGTTATCCTCACCAGAGGCGTGTTGGAATTCATGGAGGAGCTCGAGTCAGCCGACACCTGTTGTTGCAATACAAGATGCACAAAGAAAAACAGAAAGACGAGATGTAATCTTGACCCAATATCTGAGAAACAGCAGCACCTGATAACCAAGCCAGCTCAGAGCAGCGGTATTAGGAAGTGCCTGAATCGACAGGCTTGTTTCTAGTGCACTATTCTCACGTTTACCCTCCCTTGTAAGCACATTACTGGCTCTAAATGCTGCCAAGGCTGTAAGTCTGTGCCATAGGTCAAAACCCATGTAAATTTTAAACACATTCACTCAAAAGATAAATTAAATAAACTTTCCCCTCTTTTTCTTTATCAAATTCATTTTTTTAATCAACTGAGGGTATTTCTATCATCACCCTCAAATACCTAAGTAGGCAGCTTATACTGTGAGCAGAGGTTACCAATAAGCTCTACCCTTCCACTCGCTTCTAGTTGTCCATGTCACCTTCTTTTCCCAAATAAGCATACAATTTACTACTTTTTGGTGTTACTATTAAACTGAAACTTTCCATTTTTAACTGAAAAATGGTATTTTTCCAAAGGCTCACATACTTTTCATCAAAGCCAATGATCAAGATCACATGCACACTACTGTGTGGGAAATGCTGGATTCTATCACATATTTTCTAAGCATGCAATATTGAACGCATCAAAAAGCTATCACACTAATTGGGGGATACTTAAGCTTTCAGTTAACTACATTCTTAATTAAAGATTCTGCAGGCAATGTGGAGAAGAGCTCATAAAAATTATTCATAGTGTCCAATGCTGTGAAATGTAATGCACTTTGGAGTATGATTTCTCATCAGCCTCAACAGCAACACATTTTCCTCACAGCACCAAAGGTACCTAATGATAACTGCTTTGAAGGAAGAGGCAGCTATTCCCATCCAAAACCTGTTTTGGTGTGAATGGTCTATCTTCCATAACACCCTTTCCTCAACCCCACTTTGAAGGAGGAGGCAGCTATTCCCATCCATGTCACAAAACCTGTTTTGGTGTGAATGGTGTACCTTCCATAACGCTCTTTCCTCAACCCTGCAAGCAGCAGCCTGCTGACCTCAGGGTTTTAAGTGAATACAAGCACAAAACAAAAATGCTTCTATTGCCACTCTGTCCCCTCCTTTTAATGTGAGTCCTCCTTCTCTCTTCAGGTCACGACAGTCTTGGCCAAGCCCAGATCTGGTGGCCAAGGTGGGATGAAGGCTGTTCCACAATGCCATCACTGGTACCCATCGTCACGTCTGGAAGCAGGAGGTTCACTGGGACCCTGCCCAAGCTCTAAGCCTAGGGCATCAGAAGAACCCCCACCCTCAACCAGCAGGAGGTGGCTTCTCGGCCAGCATCGCTGGGACCCTGCCCATGCTGTAAGCCTAGAGCATCAGAAGAACCCCCACCCTCAACCTTTGTCCTCATCACCTGGAGTCAACTGTGACACCAGGGTTTGTTTATGTAAGTGCCACCAAGTTACAATTTTGTTCCAGAGGTCTTATAACTAGATTAAAAAAGCAATTATCAGCAAATAGATCCTAATAGCATTAGAGTGCAAATCAGTGACACAGTGATAAGAACACAAAACCCTCTTGTCTCTATGACACCTGATAAGCGCAACTTAGCGCTCCTGTATTTCAAGTCCAATTAACAATTACAGCGTCTCAGCCCACGGAATTACTTGAGCTCCTCAGGCTTTTGCAACCATGTCATGCTCTTACACAATGTATTTTGATAAGACAAGGCTAAGGCTCTCAAACAAATGTCTCATCATGACTCTGACAACCTGTTTTGTTTGAGAGGTCTTCTTGCAGGTCAACATCCTCAACCCATCTCATCAAATGGGGTTGGCCTCCTGACACATTTTTCAAAGACCAGAGATTAAGAGTGGAAAGAGGATTCATAAGAAAGCAAGCATTAAAAACTGCTATTAAAAAAAAAAAAAAAAAAGAAAATCAGTTTTACAGCTGACCAACAGACCTTTCTTGAAATCAGAAGCTCCAGCTTCTGCGTGCAAGATGTGGTATCTATGGTGCAAGAGAGTGTAACTGTACAAATAAGGCTACCATTCAAATAAGTGAGGTGGACTGCTTTCCCCCTTGTCCATCCAACCATCATTAATATTTACTTTCAGCAAATATAAGTGCCTGGCACATTCCTCTAGGCTAATAAATACGGTGACCGCTTGGGATACAAACAGAAAACTACTATTTAAGGCAAACTGTGTAGCTCTAAATAAATCAGTAATTGAATACTGAAGGGAGTTCCTCGAGAGAGATGCTGCTATGCCCAGCCTAGAGGGGAACATACCTGCTGGAGCTGACCTGCTCGCTCAGAGCTGCATGGCAGGTCAGCATGAGAACCCAGGTTGGAAGTACACTTTTACATACTTTTTGCTCACTTTTATTATTTCACTAAAGTTTAAAAATTATGCTTCATGAATTGAACTAGCTCAGCACTAAGAAACGTGCAAAACCCCACAAGCAATGTGGCAACTCCTCTCTGCCCCCAACTTCCCCTGAATTTCATTTCTCTTATTTCTTGTTTCCATTTTTAATCTCTCTTGCTGCAAACCTACTCCTAACGCTCCACGACCACTTCCTAACGTGTTTCCAAAACCCAGTGACCAGCCATTCGACCAAGATCTTTATTCAAGTCCAGATTTATTTATCAATTTATTTACTAACATTGCCTTTACTTTCTCCCCTTCCTTTGCCATCATAGCGACTGTTTTCATGGGACATCGGGAAGGCATGAAAGTGAAAGTGTAAAATTTAGATATTACTTATGTATCAAAAATGGCCAAAAACATTATGGGGTCTTTTTTTTTTTTCCCATGAATATTTGTATTAAATGCTGTTCAGCTCCCTGACAGAGTTTCATCTTTTCACTACCTCTTACACTCACAATTCAGCACTCTTAGCATGGTTAAAACCTACAAATGTAAACTTGCAATAAACTGAATTACTCTGGCAATGCATTTCAAACTCAGAAGTTAAATAGTAATAATGTATAGAGAAAAAAAAAAACCAAACCCACAGATGAAAGACACTGCCAATTTCCCTTTTAAGACAATTGCCCATGTTTACTTCACACAATAACTGGATGATTGGCCGGAGGTGCTGTAGGTAACCAAAGCGCACTACTGTGGATAGGAATGATGAGAAATCCAGAGGAACTACTCAGTGTCTGGGAGAAGAAAAATGGACTGTACTCCCACGGAATATTCTTCTGATTGATTAACTGGAGCAGTACAAGGAGTTACGGGAGCTCAAGGGCTATAAAAATCAGCTCCAGAAAAGATGAAGCCAACCCAGGCTGGCCTGTGGTTGGAGGAGATTTTCTGTTTAAAAATGGCCGTTCACCTTTTTTGCAATAGTAAAGAATTAACCTTTGAACTCAACCCTTAAGCATTTTTCTTTTCATTGCCTTAAAGTGCACTATAAAACCATGAGGAAAAACCTACCTACTCCAAGGCCAGTAGACATGGTCAACTTCAATCTACAAGTATACATCTAAATAATAGCATAGAGAAAGCCTTTTTCCAGCTTGCTACCCACTCCACTGCTCTCCAACCCGTCCATGAAGGTTCTAGAACCAGGGACACTCCTGCCGTGAACGCCACATTTCAGGGTGTGGAGTTGCTTTCACGGATGCGGATGCTCTTTTAGCTTTCAGTTATGCAAAGTTTCCAGGTATATAGGACACAGGCATCACAGAGATTATACTGAGTTTTTGCAGCAAGCCTGTAATTGTACATGGCCAATAGAAAAACCCCAGGGCCACTTTGGGGTCTACCATGTGCCAAGAAGCAGCCGCTGGACATCTATTCAAAATGCATGGACTTCTTGGGCCATCACCCAGCTCACCAGCATGTACTTCTCAGCGATAAAGGAAGGAAGCAGAGCCAGGACAGAGAAGAAAGGAAGGGCACCTGATGCCGGTGAACTAGACATCTCCAAGGTCCATTCAGTGTGTTGGTGACACCTGTTGTAAGTGATGACACTACACTAAGAAGGTATTTTAAGTGCTTAATTAAAGCAAGGAATGCAGAAGTCAGCTTGACTTGAGCAGAACACTGAAAAGACTACTGTGGTATATGTTAAGTTCAATAGGAAGGTAGACCTCCAACCATAAAATATTCTCTGTGTGCTTCCTTTCTGCTTTCAGGAGGCCAGAACCAAGAAAAGTACCAGCCTCAGACAGGTCTTTAGCTCCATATCTACACTTCAGAAGGAGAAAAGCACACTGTGTCCAAACCTCATGCATCAATGCATCATTATATCCCCATTTTAACAACATACTTCTCCTTCGGCCAACACGCTGTATTTAATCAGCTCTGAGATAATGCTTTACAAGCATTTCTAAGCAGTGGAGCATTTAAAACAAATCTTTGCTGGAATCTTTAAATGCCATGTGGCAAAATCAGCTGCAGAGCAGTGTGTAATTGTCTGTAATTGATTATGAAGGGTGTTTTCCTCCACTGATGATTTATACCATGTCCCGAAGCCTAGATCTGTCAGTTCTGGCAATCATGCTGTGAGATTTTAGCAGCCATGCAGTGATTTCCTATAATTGTCAGTCTTTTTGAAGGCTCTGCTATAAAAGTTAACTTGAAGTCACATGCATAGATGTACATAACGCTATTAGCTGTTGATAGAAACAGTCCATCTGAGTGACTGGGTCTAGGAAAATATAAGGTTGAATTTACAACACAAAGCTGAGGATTCCTAATGTTAAGTAGTGACATTTAAAACACACACACCCCTCCACGAAAAGCACTCCTGAAACACTTACACAACAACATAACAAATGAGCAGTACTAGGCAAGTCAGCGGTTTCCATGTAGAGAAATCCAAGGACAAAGCAAAAATCTAAAATAGTTATTAAGGTAAATTCCTTGCAACAAATCCTACTGACAGCTGTGTATTAATCTTTGTATTTCAGAGTCTATTTCTCAAAATGAATGATATCTTTACAGCTCAATACTAATGAAATACTATGCTACTACTTTACTTGTTCCAGATTACTTTTCTATTTTTTTTTCCAGGTTCCAGCTGCCATCATCCTTTTGAATTAGCTGTTTTGCAGGGTGAACTTAAGTCTTAATTTAAACCAATCAGTCTTTGTTCATCCCAGATGCGCTCACCATATCTTTATGAAGGATTAGACTCAACAATGACAGTAGATGTAAATTAGCAGGAATGTCTTT